AATGTTGAAAATACCTTATGTTCCCATGAGAAACAATTACCGTCCGAATAGGGCGAATGTTGAAAACAGTTATGCTGCTTAATAATTCTGTGGAAACTGTATTACATTTGTTTTCAGGATTCTTTGTAGGAAAATAAACACAGACATTCTGAATTCGGATGGCAATAAAACCACTGACTAGCCCCTGCAAATGTTGAAAATACCTTACGTTCCCATGAGAAACAATTACCGTCCGAATAGGGCGAATGTTGAAAACAGTTATGCTGCTTAATAATTCTGTGGAAACTGTATTACATTTGTTTTCAGGATTCTTTAATGAATATAAAGTTTAAAAGAACAGTGTTTATTTTTGAAACCAAAATCTTTTGTAATAATCTTAAGTCTTTATTTTCAATTTTGATGAAATACTGTATAATATATCATTGCTGAATAAAAGTATTAATGTCTTTTTTTTTTTTTTTATCATATTGAGCCCAAACTTATGAACTGTAGTGTAAATTATACAGTTCACCTTTAAAATGTGTTGCGAATAGCTTTTCATATTGTTTTGTTGTATTCAGATGAAATGTTAAATTTAACTCTGAATTTATTTCATACTAACAGGAGGATTCGGGGCGAAGCCAAGAAATGCCGGAAGGTGTACGGCATTGAACACCGAGACCAGTGGTGCACGGCCTGCCGCTGGAAAAAGGCATGTCAGAGATTCCTCGACTGAATCCTTCTTTAGATTGATGGAAACAGAACACTAACCTTATAGAGACCCACAAGAGGGGATCGTACCTGGAACTATGGTTGGAAGAAACCAAAAGAGCAGCTTTTGTGACTTAAGACTTTTTCAGCTTTCATTACAATTGCGTGTTTTTTTAAAAATGTGCTAAGGAACCATGTTGATGCTGCAGTCTTCCTGCATCTTATATCAAGAACTGATGAAGTCTGACCTTCCTTTTACAAGCGGTATGCAGCCATATACAACAGCAGCAGTCATATACTTTTTGTTTAATGTGGTTTGTACATTGTCGTCATCAGACACATATGGAAATTTTACTTATTCCAATTTAAAAACTAATATGAGACAGGAGAGAGGTCTTTACCGCGGGCTATTGCTTTCAGGGGCAAAATTGGCAGCTTATGCTTAATTGTAGATAAACAAGAAAGCAGAGTAAATGTTTCAATAGCATGTAACGTTTATGTTCATGTATGCCATGTTTACCTGCTGAGAAGCAGCTTTTTCTTTGATTTCCAGCACAAAATTCTGTAAAAAACTTTTGAAAAAGAAATAGGAAGAAAAAATGTTTTTTTATTACGATTTTGATATTTGTGACGTGTTAAATCCTGTCGTGTCATTATCGGTGTATTTCTGTGTCACAGGGTATACTTCTGTGGAATGATATGATTCACTTTTCGGTCACATCCATACTAATGAAGTATCTGTGCAAACCTGCATGATCTTATGCAATTATTCATTTACTTTTGTGCTTCTCGCCCCAGCCTGCTCACTCGCTGTTTGTCTGTTTGGAATGTGTTGTTGCCAAAGATAATCTCAGCAAGATAATACATCATATACATCTCTGCATAATAATGTGAAATGAATCTGATGACCATTTATGTGTAACCAATTGTTTGACTGGTTTATACTCTTAATACTGGGTCCAAATATTTTCTTATTGTACAACACTTCTGTACGTCATCTTTTTTTGTTTTTATCTGTAGCTCAATATATTTCGCAAAGCATGATGCTTTGACATCATAAAACTGAATGTACCTTTAGATCCCATAAGTCTTTATGAACTTCTGACAGTCAGTGTCATAGCTGTGTAAGGACATCCTAGTCTGAGAGACATTCAATGAACCACATAGAGAACAATCTTTTTGTACATTTTTGTAAAGTACTTCCCAAGTATTTCCTTTTATGAAAAGTCATAAACTGAGATCTGTTCAAGATAAAAGTATAATTTCTTTTCATGAAACTTATGTCACTTCATGCCTTTTATAAATAAACTTTTGTGTAAACAAGTACGACCGACAGTATTGCATTTTAATATTGGTACTTTTGAGGATGACTAGGCGGAGTGCTTTCAAAATGCAATAAGGTTAACCGTTGGAAAATATTTCATTATTTATGTTTGAAATCCAAATTAATGATGAACAAAATACTTCAGGACACACAATCATTTGCTGCATGACAAACCACAGAAAATAGTAAACTATTTTATTGACATAGTTCAGTTACTATGTACAGTTCATTTAGTGAACATCATGAAGTTTATCAGTAGAATAGAGGGAAAAGCATGATTTAGCAATGTTTGCATAAACACATCATTTCATCTGCACAAATACAAATCAGTTTTATCAGTTAAAAAAAATTCTAATGAATGCTTTTGGTTTCCCACTCTTAGATGAGGATGCAAACTCCGTGTGCATGTGCATGACAGAATTTGTTATGTTTGTATAGGCATATTACAGTTTTTGCTGGAATGGTTTATGCGAAATCTGGCTTTATTTATTTTTTCGAGAGAGACAGTAAACACAGATTAGCTTTCTTTAATCCCCTTAAAGGAATAGTTCACCCCCAAATGAAAATTATAGCAATTACTTATGCTTATGATTCTGATCCCATTTTATTTTATTTCTTCCTTAAAACACAAAAGGAGATATTAAGCAGATTGTTAAAGCTGCTCTTTTCCCCAACACACTCTCATGGAAATGAATACGTTTTGGTGAATTGATGGCTAATTCATATGAATTTGTACAATCTCATTCATTTGTTTTTGTACAATCTGTTTACGCCCCAGTGATGGTTATGCTTAGGGGTGAACCTTCATGCTTATTTTTTTTTTTCTAAAAAAGAAAGAAAGAAAAAAGCCTACATTTACTTTGTAGAAATTCATATGAAATGGTCACTTTTTAAAAACAGCTACGTTTAAAAAAAACTTTTTTAAAGAGTTACGTAGTAAACGTTTTTAAAAGTTTGCAAACTTAAATTTTAGTCTGTTTCTCATGCTTTCATTAGGCTTTAATGCTGATTTACGTTCCATTTGGAGCTCTAAATGACATAAGGGTGAGTGAGCCTTTTCATTTTTGGTGAACTATTCCTTTAATAATTCTATTTTGCCTAGTAATTACCTCTCTATATGACATTCCACCTCAATTTCAAGCATTTTCATGGAAATTTCATTATGGGAACTCTAATTGACCAATAGGTGGCAGTGTCGTAAAGGAGATGAATTTGGAACCGGTAACGTTTTCAAACGGTCTTTACACAATGTTTAATTAAACTACAGGGGCCATCATATACAATACCAATCATCTAATGCAATTTATATATGTCTCAAATCGAATCTGTAGAGTTTTATTCAAACTTCAAGCTAATATCACTTAATGTAAACTTTGTTTGACACAGATTAGATGCTTCATTGAGTAAATGCACATCTAACCCTGTGGCACTATGAGAGCTTTTTGTGTTTGAGGAGAATGGTGCATGATATCTTTCGAATGAGCAAAACAAATGGTTTGCTTGGTAAGTTTATTCACTTCAAAGGTCAAAGCTTATTCATTCTGTTGGGTGACATCAGCAGACATACTATTAAACTCACTAGCTCGAGTACTCATGCCAAAATACTGCTTGAGGAACTCGCTAAAACGCTTCTGGTTGTTCCACTTGCGGGCGGATTTGCGGACGCCTATGAAACTCCCATATCTTTTTTGCAAAGACCTTCCAGGATCCATGAACTTCCTGTAGCCATACTTGTTTTTGAGGAAGCCTCCAAAGCGTTTGATTAGGTGGACGGCAGCCTCTTCCTCATCGCCTTCCATCTCACTATCTCTATCCCGCTCTTCCTCGGATTCTTGTGCTGACTGTATTTGCAGGAACTTGTATTTTTTACTGAGCTGCATATCTTGGTCCTGATCATCCATTCCCAAGGCCCGTGTTATGTGGTTGAACCTCTGGAGGGTTTCAGAATACTGCCCATCATCCTGGTCCACAGGCAGAGAGATGTCCGCTTCTTCCTCTGCTCTTTTCAGCATGCCATTGCCAACCGATAGCAAGGCGTTTGGTTTCTGCTCCACAATGGTCCTGCGACACATCTCCCAGGTGTCGCCTGGAGAAAGTTTACCATGACACTCCACCAGACACACCTGAATGAAGACCCGCACAAACACACATGTTACAAGGTCAACATCATCATGCTTTAATACAGTCACACTGTATTAAATTACAATACGAGAGTGTGTGGAATGTTTTGTAACTTTAGCTTATTCAGCACAATCATTTATACGTCATCTGGTCCTCGCTGGTTTAAGCTGGCTTTCCACCCAAGCCAAACGAGAGTTCAGATAGTTTTAGCTGGTTGGCCAGCTGGTCTCCCAGTCTAACCAGCTGAAATGCCCCAAACCCCTCTAAAACCAGTCAAAAAGGCTGACCAGTCTGAGAGACCACCTAAGATCAGCTTAGGCTGGCAGCAGTTTCTTTATTACAGCAGAGTAAAGCAAAGTACGTTCAAATTAAATCAGAATTGTCCCTACTTTGACAAATTCTTGTCAACAAATCTTTTAAAACAGATTTTAAACAATAAAATCATTTTCAACACCACCTCTGCAACCACTTCTGTTCTTTTTTAATGGTTTTGTTCTGAAAAATATTTTTACTACCTATACTGATCGATTTAATTAAGTCACACCCCTTTTTGTCTATGAATTTCTTAAGAAATATGCCACATGGAGGTCCTCTGCAACCACTTCTGTTCTTTTTTAATGGTTTTGTTCTGAAAAATATTTTTACTACCTATTACTGATCGATTTAATTAAGTCACACCCCTTTTTGTCTATGAATTTCTTAAGAAATATGCCACATGGAGGTAAAATGGGATTTATTAAGTGAAACCTTAGTTTAATTTGATTGGCCAAGCGTCTTGCCAATGCCACGCATTTTTGAAGTGACTCGTTTTTCAGGTTACAAGTGAATCATTGAATCATCGACTCAACCGATTCGTTCAAAACATTGTTTCGATCAGTAAAGAAACACAGGTAACTGCAGCGGTCGATCTCGTTTGGCTTCGTGTGTAATAATTGTCTTTGGAGTAAGAAAAATAGACAACTGTAACTGGAAATATGGTATGTAAAATGTAAGTTACCCAGTATTACCTTGTTTTTAACGGTTTATTGAACTGTATGAAAGCAATATCACACTCGCTATAGCTATTTGGTCTGATCTGGAGATTGGTGGAGCGTACTGTATATTTGGAACAACAGCTCGTGGATATTGCTTAATTAGACCGTTTTAACTTTAAGTATACTGGACCAGAGATTTTTTTTTCAAAAGTGTTTCTGAAAAGTGGATTTCATGAGAACTTGAGTAGCATCTAAAAACTAAAGTCACGACCATCGCGCATTAAAATGGGAGGAGCGCGAGCTGTTCCTCGTAATCCGGTGTAATCAGTTAAACCTTTTAAATTAGCAGTTTAGTTTGGAGGGAGTTGGTTAGTTATCAGAAGAGCTATATCTGCTCATTCATGCTGAAAAACGACAAGAACACCTCAGGGTGAGCCTGTGCTATGGAGGGCTACTCAGGCCCATCAGTTTCCGTAAGCACGCAGCCTTGCCGAATGATGTTATTGTGTTTCTACTTAATTACACAACAAGATAACTGAATCACTCCGGCTGTTTTGAGTCAAAGGGCCATCTTTAACCAAATTAGCACTTCTGCCCCCTCAAATGCGTGTTATTGACATGAATCAGAGAGTATGTCCTCCTCCTCGGAGCTATAATCAGCTGCAGAGCACAACCACATTCCACTGTTATGATCATTATGATTATGTCAACTAAAGGCGAGTCTCAGGGAAATTCGATACAATTGAGGCCATAGGTCTTGGGCGGTACAGAAAATGAAATAAGATTAACGAAGCTGTAGAAGATCTGTGCAGAGTAACATAAAACTAGACATGTACATTTTCTGAAGAACATGAAAGTGCTGCTTGCCTGTGACTGTTGTGGGTGGTTTCTCATTTTCTTTAGTTTAAGTTAACATAATAACTAAACATAAACATAACTCAAACTAAATAAACAAAAACAACAAAATTACAAAAATTATAGTGAACACTGAAACTATAAAAATAAATGTAATTGTAAGTATTACCAAAAACTAGTATCATTGGTTGTTAAGGTGCTTTATCACATTACGGTTGCTAGGGTGTTTGAGTGGTTTCTATGAGGTTGCCATATCAAGAGATCCTATAACCTTAAGTATAGTATCTATAATATTCTGGTTTCTATGGTTTGGATATCTCCTTTATTGTAAGAGTATGGGTTTTTCCCCCTTCTGTTTTATCGTCTTCCAGACAAAATAGAGGATCAACTTTGTATGTTTCTCCTTTGAAAAAAAAAAAACTTGAATAACTGATATAATTATTGATGTATATAAGAACATAAAACTATAAAATTATAAAATAATTTGAGTTTATAGAAAATCTCTGATTGTTGGCACAATCTGTGATTTTGAGATATCTTCTGAAACTCTAGACGACATATGAGAGATTTTTTTTTTTTTTTTCAGGGAAATTCTTTTTTGAGAAGTTAAGCAAAAGTCTCCAATTGCACTCCATTTAATCTCACTTCTGTATAGAAGAGATAGTAAGAGGTCTTGTGATATTCTTTACTACGGGGAGTGATGGACACTGTAGGGAATTACCAAATTGTTGAAGGCATATTCATTAGGCAGTTTTTGGCTGCAGAAGAGGCAATCCTTCTGGCAGTCACACCATGCTGGGTTACACAGTCCAAGCAACAGTAGCGTCCACAGTGGAGTCTTCATCACGCAGTGTGTTAACAACCGAAGTGCAGTCTGTAGAGAGGATAGAGACAGAGATGATGGTGCAAGAGAGAAAATAGGTTACGATTCCTGGAAATAAATCTTAACACAACAGTATGTGTATACGTTAGTTCAACCTACTGGAAAATTTCTGATTGGTCAAGTGCATCATTTGCCATCTTTGTGACTCAAATCTAATCAATTCAAAAATAACCAACTCAGAACTTAAAGGGGTTATATGATATTGCTAAAAAGAACATTATTTTGTGTATTTGGTGTAATGAAATGTGTTTATGCGGTTTAAGGTTAAGAAAACAAATTATTTTCCACATACTGTACATTATTGTTTCTCCTCTATGCCCCGCCTTTCTGAAACGCGTCGATTTTTACAACGCTCATCGGTCTGAAAAGCGAGGTGTGCTCTGATTGGCCAGCTATCCAGTGCGTTGTGATTGGCCAAATATCTCAAGCGTGTGACGGAAATGTTACACCCCTTGCCACATTGTGATGCCTTGTCCGGCCGGAGCGACGAGACAAAAACATTAAAACCCATTATAAACGAGGCATTTGTTGCATCCAGTGGGGACATAATTATGGATTATATTGACTTATACTGTCTTTTTACGTGTTGCGTTGCATCACGCCGCGTAAACATAAAACCATGTCTGCATTTGTGATCGGAGAAATGACAAACAACAAGCGCTACTCTACACTGCTCAAAACTCGCGTTTGAATTGTCAGTGGCAAATTCTTTAAATATAAAAAAAATTACTTACAGTCTAGTGTTGTCAAAAGACCCGGTATTTCGGTACCAAGTCGGTACTAAAAAAATGAAAACGTTCTAAATATGTTACCTAGAAAAAGGTTGATAGCAGATTAAACAATTTATTCTAAATGAATGTTGTTTTATTGGTGCAGTGTTTTGTTGGTTGCTGGGCGACTTGTTTTCTACATTGTAATGGGCTGTTTTTCTTTGCAGAAGTTAATCTAAGATAAATTAATTTAATAAAATAATTTCAACTCAGTTCAATATTTAATGACCTTTTATTTGTTTATTTTGGCAAGTAGCTGTGTAATGTACAGTCAGAAGGTCATTAGTGCAAAATAAACTCCTTCAGGGTGAGATTATTTTGTGATAATGACTGTATGAATGTACATTATCCCTCACAAAAAATGCTGCCTATCTGTGTGACGTTAACTAATCATATTTAAAGGTACTTTTTTAATGTATCCGAGACCGACTTGGCATTTGCCAGTACTTCATTATCAAAACTCATCATCTGTAGTAATTAAAGCTAGAATTAGTGCTTGTGGCGTAATGGGAGCAGAATGGAGAAAAGGAGGAGGATTTGAGCCGCTGTGATGCACGCTGGTTAAGCAGTCTTAGTTACCACATTAGTCCAAACAATAGAAAGGACTATAAAGCGCTTCAGTCCTTTTTATGCCAAAGCTTTAAGAATAATAACCTTATCCTGCAGCTGCCTTGTCAAGCAAATAAAGCACGGATGAATGTACGTTTCAGCATTGACAGTTGACCGGTGACATGCTGCCCACCAAACCATCAGTTGTTTAGTTGCTTCAAAAGCAACTTCAAGATAAATCAATTTCACCTGCATTACACTTGTACTGAAGGTGTCACCAGGAACAAAAGCAAAGGTGTAAGTCACGGAGAATCAATAGGCACCCCTTGAGTGAGTTTTATTGAATTTAGTCACTGTAAAAGTAACAGACAAGGAAAGACACATAATTATAAGTGTGAGTGAATTACACACAACTTTATGCAGGGGGAACAAACTGGATATTGATTTTTGTCGCTCCCTTTAGTTCATTTATGTATTTATTTTTTCTCAGGAACTACAAGATTGAATGGATTCAGGCCAGGCCGCAGCATTGTTTAGAGGTGATATTTCAAGTGGGGATTGTTTGTTACAACTATAGTTTTTCCTTTTCAGCAGCTTTTGTTTTTCTGGTTGAAGTTTCTCATTTAAATTTAGATTACTAGTACACATTTCTGTGCACCTCAGGTGCCCCAGAAGTTCTTAATCTCACTGCGGTTTGTACAGACTCATACATACATGTGGGATGCAGAGCTTGGCAGGCCTTCAAGATTTAATTAACTAACTCAATTATGTAATAAAATAGACTAAACCAAGATGGACAGAGTGATTTAACTTTTGACCTTTGGAATTATCTCATATGCTCAAAGGAAAGAACAATCTCTTATTGACTAAGTAGGAGGAAATTGGTGCACTTTGAGAAACTGTGCTTTTTATATCATAAGAAAGCTTTTCTGTTTTGAAAAGGAATGACTAAGTGCTCTATTTACAGAATGTCAGTGCCTCATAATCTGTAGCAAAACATTTAGTGATTTTTGACATCGTTTAATGCCATCTTTACATTGTGTCTAAAGTGGCATTTTTGCCACAATATGAATTATTTACACAAACAGTTGAATGCTGCATGGATGTGGGCATACATGCATTTGCATAGAAATTACAATTATTAATAAACGTATTAAATTAATGTTTTGAATATGAAATAATTGTAACATATGAAAGCCTATTTGCCTCAGTGTTACTTAATGTGACTATAGCTCACATTAAGACGCTATATTGCAATATGACCATCTCTCACAATGTTGTTTTATTCCTTATTTTAAAATTTGTCTCATGATAATCTGTTATGTTTTTTGTTCTGAGGTGGGTTACAATATAAAAAGGTGAAATGAATGAAAATATGAAATTATTAATACAAATATGTAACTATAAATTAAATAAATACTCTATTATGACAACAGCAGTGTTTCTGTTCTGCTGCTGCATTTTATTACATTTACAGAAAACAAGCAGCGTCAGATGCTAGGGGCTCAGGTGGATCAGAGCAGCATATTTCAAAGGGGTCATGAACTGCCTTTTTTATTATTTTGTACTGTTCTCTGAGGTCCAGTTATAATGTTATCAAGATTTTTACATCAAAAAAACATCATAATTTAGGAGTAATAGGCTATTTTCTGCCCTGTTTTGACCCCCTCATCAAAACGCTCTGTTTGAATAGGTGTGGCGGATTGTAGACTCAGAAGTAAATACCCACTGCTATGATTGGCTAACAGTTGAGTATGTTTGACAGCCTACATCCTTCATAGATGGATGCTGCTGTGATTTAAGTTAAAAATGCATAAATAACTCTACATATCAAACGATCTGTAATAAAAGCAATAGTAGCACGAAATAAAAACAGTTACTCACACTCGTGTGGTGCGGCATTACTTCGGATCTAATATAGTCGGCACAGCATCGTCTTTAGTTTA